CTTTCTCTGTAAAGGGAGTTTTTGGGGTGAAATTCCGGCTTGATTCACTACCCCGGCTGGCTGGGGGGGTTAGGGTTCGAAGCCGAATATTAAGCTTTGAGATCACTCTCTCTGGTTCAAAAGGGATTAAACCAGCTGCTCCGAAGCTATTTTTAATAGTCTCCGATTTAAAAGCTTCAATTCGTGCGAGAGGGTATGCTTCGAGGAAGTCAAGTTTGTCAATATAGTTAATCCCGTTCCGTATCTTAGTTTCAACCATCCGACTATAGGCACGTTTTAATACCGCAAAACAACCAATATCCAAAGGTTGTAAAAGATGAGATGAATGCGGTGGTATACAGATTGGTATCACCTTATTTTGCTCGCAAATTTCGTCAAATTTAGCTGTTAAATGACTTCTGTGACTATTAAGTATCAAAAGCCGGTATACCCCCTTTGTACATAAAGTACTAGGAATAAAGACCTTCTCTAGCCAGCGAAGTCCAATTTCATCAGAAGTCCAGCCGTTAGGACTAACTTCAAAGCGCCAATCCTCCGGAAGGCCATCGAACCATGATTTAATAAAGACTTTACCTTTAAAAATAATACACAGAGGGAGGGCCTAACCCGAAGCATTTATACATTCAATAGTAGTCACCCATTTACGATTTCTAGGTTGTAAAACCGGCCTCCGACCGTAATATTCACTCCTTATAATAACCTTCGCAGTAGCAGTCAATCCTATTGCAAAACCGGTCTTATCAAAGTTGTAAATATCATCAGGATCGATCCCAAATTGAAGGATGGTTCTTTAAACAAGATCAAACCACTCTGTAATAATCTTAGGGTCTTCACATTTCGTACGCTCGTAGTTATATCGTTTCGAGAATCGGGAGGAGAGGAGAGGATGCCGTTTCACAAAGTTGTATACCCATTTTTCGCCGACCGAAAGAACCGGGGTGGTTCTACGCTTTTGAAGAAGAAGATCTGCCATTTCTCGTACTATAGAGGGCCGGGGGGCTGATCCACGAGAATCCATAGAGAGGATCCATTTTTGAAGAGATTCCTCTTTAATATCGGTCAATTTGTGAGAGTTAGCGCGAGAAATCGCGCGGTGTTGTATACCATCAATTCGGCGGCGGAGAGTTGAACGTGGGACGTTAAAGGTACGCGCAGCAAGAGCAATAGAGCTGATATCTCTATTTTTAAAAGCCTGGATAGCTAATAGGATCCTACCCTCTTGATCTGTTGAATTTGTAGAGGATTGAGAGCGAATTGGTGGCATGGTGGGTGGTTGAACTAACTAAGATCTAATTCATGGACGCGTTTTGGTTGGGGTGGCCACTCGCTTACAGTGGCCGCTCGCTTGCCGAATACGTTAGATGGTCTTTTTATTAGATAAGTGAGGGCCAGGATGACACATGTATTACTAAGCAAGGTATTCATCCATGGATGGATGGATCCTACCCGTGGACGTAACCATTCCATAGCAATAGGATCATCTTTACCACCCTTACGTTCCGTAACACACTGGTAGCATGTCCTGGTTAAGAGCCAGAGATTCCTCTGGTGGGCGTACCAATTGGTCATTGAACCATCCGGTGTCTCTTTACCCCTGGGTTACCAGCGGTAGAAGAGGGAGGATGAGGCAGGTGATCTGAACCTTTCTCTTTGCCTGGACTGCCTCAGGCGGGGCTAAGGCGGCGCCAATGTAGAATTCGGAAATGCTTGAGCGGCACTTCCTACCCACAAGGTAGGACGCGGGGTTCCAGCTTCCAAAACGGACGTAAAACGCTTTGTAGACAGGGAACCAGGGGAGGCCGTTAGCCCAAATGATCATTGGGGGATCCAAGGGAATACGCGAAGTACGAATATCTCCATGTTGGTCAAAGTCCGCTTAGAATCGTGAGCCCCGCTGGTACGGTGTCATAGTGCAGAGGCAATAGAAAATTCCTTCGTCCGCCAGTCGAACGTAGGACAAGGCAAGACGTGCGTCTTGCTTAGCGTTGTCCCAGTAATTGTGAATAGAGAAGTGGAAGACTACCCATATCGAAACTGTTTCCATGTCGATTTTCCCGCCGGAAGACGGGCCCGGTCTCTTTCCATTACGCTGACCGTCAGTCGGGTGAGACATATTGGCTTTATCCTAACGCAGGGCGTATAGGGTAGACTCGTCGTACGAAGAGTTATAGGACTCAGGGTTCAAACCCCCTTTTGTAGGTAGTTTAGCGCCTCAATGCCTGACTTTAGAACGGCAGACGCAAATTAAGATACCTGAATTACTATTACACATATCTTCATGATCAAAGTACACTGATTCTGTTCGCGTTTAAGTCCAAAAATGCAGCTTTTGATATCTCAAACAATTATCCTAAAAAGACTCCTAAAAAGAAATCATAAGGCTGCAAATACGGCCGACTTTACTTGCATGAAGATAGATTTATTTGTATAGGGCCAAAAGTTTCATTTTTGACAGTTGTAGTATTAATAAATTTACCATACACTATATAGAGCGGCGTAAAAGGCGGTGCTAAACAAGGCATTAGGCATCAATTCCCACCTATAAACGGAGTTTTGAACCCTTAGTCCTATAAGTCTTCGTACTCGCCGTAAAACCAGCAGATTGCAAGTGCAAAGGACTGTTCAGTGTGGGCGAATCGTGTCACGTTCGTCTTAGGTACGCCGGGCATCCCAGGCAAGCACGGAGGATTCTTTGGCCAAACTAACTCTCCGTGCCTTTGATTCCGTCACCTACCCGAAGGCCCACCGCACAAATGGCCCAGTTGACCTGATCCATGTGGCTACTATCCGCCGCGGCCAGAATAAGGTTGCGTGCCGTTTTATCATAAACAGTAACGCGATAGCGTACGCATTAGTCTACCAAACTAAAGCAAAGAAAGATCTTGCCTACGCTCGCCTACAAGACCTCGAGGGCTTCTATAAATACGTCTGCGACTTAACTAACGACTTCCCTTCCGCGTCGTTCCCCGATGATAAACCATATAAGCGAGTAGCACAATAACCTAAGCCATGGCCCGAGCAAAATATACAATGGTAGGCAAGGAAACCCCCGTGAGAAATACCCATCTCAGCAACGAATCCATCAATGACCATAAGCTGATGGGGATGTATACCTCACAGGACTCGGTTTAAACAGACACGGATTTGCGACTTTTTGTTTGGCATTTTAGGTTGGGCAGAGTGGAATGAATCACCCTGTGTTCAGTAGGCTCATCGCCCTCACTAGTTCGATGCTGCTGGATTTCGGTTGGCGTTGATATTGGCCTTTGAGAGTCTTTCTCAGACAAAGTATCCTTCCATCCAGGGGAATAGCACAGTTATCGAGAACTCATTTCAAGGGGGTGCAACAGAGCACAACATTGAGCTAATATAGAATGTGGTAAAGATGGATGAATATGATGCTGGTCAAATTGGGAGATTCTTTGTCGGACAAGAGTAGAGTGTTCTTGGAAATTACTCAGTTAAATCAATTTTAAGTTGGAGTAATCTCTTATTTTATATTGCAAATTGGATCCAATTCCAACATCCCCCTCTGAAGCCACACCTAGAAGCATACCCACCTGAGCAATATAGGCAGCAATGTTCCCAAGTGAAGTCACTTATCAGGGAAGCTGCAGTGGCCAATGAGACTGTGCTTTGTTGGTTTGACTATCCGATTTCGTTTGTACATCCTTCATATGTAGTTCGACACGGAGTTAAGCTCGTATATCCGAGGCAGTGAGATGACGAAGGTTACTCTAGCGCTGGAGGCGTTCTTATTTAAACATATATCTCTTTGGTAGGCTTTTCTCTAACAAACTCTCAGAGTCCGCGAAACTGTGAAATGGCTGTCAAACAGAAAGTGTTGCTCCTCGGAGCTACTGGCGAGACTGGCACTTCCATACTGAAGGGTCTACAGGAATCTGGTAACTTCGTGAGTTATAATGGCCGTATACAAGTTCGTACCTGATCCTCATTGTCTTCATTTTTTTAGGATATTGAAGTCTTGGTGCGACCAGCTTCTGTGAATAAACCATCTGTTCAAAGGATTCAAGAGCAAGGCATCAAGATCTGGTCCATAGATCTCAACGAATCGAGCGATCTCATATCTGCATTTTCTGGTGTTGATGTTCTTATCAGCGCTATTGGACCCCAGGACGTAATGCAGCAAAAAAAGCTACTTGAAGCTGCAAAGTTAGCCGGTATCAAGCGAGTAGTTCCATGCGCTTTCATTACGGTCGCACCCCCACACGGCGCTATGTTGCTTCGTGACGAGGTACGAACAGCGGAAACTAATAGGTGTGACTTAAGTGTAACTGACCAATCAAACAGAAAGAAGAAGTTTACAACGACATCAAACTCCTTGGTATTCCTTATACCATAATAGATGTCGGTTATTGGTATCAAATCTCATTTCCCATCGTTCCCTCCGGCAGAGTGGATTATGCATCGGCGTTCCCAAACAATACTATCCATGGTGACGGCACAGTCCCCAATATCCTTACCGACCTACGTGATATCGGCCGGTTTGTCGCGTGCATAATATGCGATGATCGAACTTTGAACAAATATGTCTACACGTATGGGGACGTTCTGAGCGAGAACGAAATTTATCGTATTGCCGAAGACCTCTCGGGCGAGAAAATCGAATCGACTCCGGTATGCTGACTCCCTTAAAATATATTGTTCTTGGTGAAGCATGTTCTTATTAACTGGACCCCCAGATGTCAATCGAGCAAATCAAAGACGGCGCTGTACAGGCCCAGGCTGCTTTCTCCCAGGATCCTCAGGATCCGATGAAGCGTATGTTCCTTTACCTTGCCCAATATCGCTTTAGTAAATATGTACGCAAGGACAACGAGCCTGCTTACGCAGACTATCTGGGCTATCTCAATGCCAGGAGCCTTTATCCTGAGTTCACACCCACGTCTTTCCGAGAATTCTTTGCAGAGGCACTCGCGGGAAAGGTGAGCAAGGTGTACGCTAGTTCATAGATATACTTTGGTCCATTAGCATATCATACCATTGTCAGTTCACAGAATGAATGAATTGAATCAAACTTTCAAATGATTTTCTTTGCGTACATCATCATATCTTCAAGCTCATCCATGATCCAAAACTGTCAAGCCATGCTTTGATCATCGAGATGCAAGTTATGTGGTCGAGCTATTCTCGTTCCCGGTATATAAGAAATAAATCCTCTGCAATATACATGATACCTCTTATTCTGTTAGCTGATCGCCTGCCCCCTACCTCCATCTGTAGAATTCCCGGAAGGTGGAAGTCTTTCAGAGAGCAGAAGAACGGAGATAAGAGTGATTTATCCCCGTTTCGCAGGACTTGCAGAACTTAGCTGAGAACGGAGATAAGAGTGATTTATCACCGTTTCCCAGGACTCGCGGAACTTGAGGAGCTTAAATTTAGTGTACTTTTTCCTGTACATATCATCATGGTTTCACCTCCGACATTTTACGATGCTTCGGCTCCCAATCCATATGTCGTTTGAATGTTCATTCTAGAATGAGGTGGGCTCGATGTTGAAGTGGAGCAGGTTGACATCAGGTCACTCGAAAACTGAAGACTGGCATATCGCACCAATGTGAACTCTCGAGGTGAATTGCCCGCCCTACGCATCAGCGATCAATTCGTCCTGACTGAGATCACCGCCATCTGCGAATACTTCGACGAGGTAGCGAAAGGCGGCAAGTCCCTTTTTGGTGAGACTGCCTTGGAGCGAGCCGAGACTCGTATGTGGCTTCGAAGGATGGATATGGAGATCGCCCAGCAAGTGATTGATTGGTTCCGCAACGATCCTGGCACCATCGACTTCTACAAGGGAAATCGTATCCCGGTTCCTGAGGCTCGAGTCATTCAGAAAGTGACTATCAATCAATTCTTAAACCGGCTCGACGATGAGCTCGAGGAAAAGAGTTATTCTTGTGGGGAATGATTTTCTGCTGCAGACATCCACTTCTATGGTTTGATGAAGATGATGGTTGATTAGGTAGCTCCATGGGTACTTTCGCCCGGGCGATTGAACGTGGTGGCCTACTGGAAGAGAATGGAAGAGCGAGAAAAGAGCAAAGCGGCCTTGTCAAATTTCCCTACGGGATTGCTATCAACTTGAAGTGATTTCTTTGCTCACAATAATCCAAATCTTTGCTGCTGCTATCATTGCAACAATTTTTGGCTATTCAACAGTACTTAGCTGGTGATCCCAGCGGACGCTTATTTATTAAGCAATGTTCCGGTCTACGCATAACATTAGATACGTCAACAAATATGTCCGAACGTGAGCTCACCAGCACTGCGACGGACGCTTGATTATCACCACCTCGGATGCATCCTCATGCATTCCTCCCCTCTTAGGCTAGCTGTCTTCCAACGTCCGCTCAACCGCTGGGATTAGTTTAGCTATTACGGAGAACATTTCCTTTGGGGCGCCTGGTCAAATCGTAGGTGTTTATATCTACAAGTCAGAGCAAGCCAAGAACGGTTTTCTTACTGGCCATTAGAGTAATGCAGCGCTCCTGCTGCTCGCTTCTGTTGTATGTGTTACATTGAGACTGTACTACGGGTAGCTGAACCGGCGATTCCCCCACGGCCAAATGAGATATGTCTACTGAAATGTTTTCAAATACAGTTTTGTGATGTGTTAGGATGTTTCAAGTTCTATGGATGAAATCCACTAATGCTTTGTTTTTTTATCCTTCCTCGAATACACCTATAATAGTCAAAAATTCAACTATAACAAAGAACGATAAATTCATAAGCCAGTCGCCCACACATGGAATTAAGGGACCATACAGTATTTCAAAAAATAATAATAATCATAATAATAATAGTAGGATTCCTAATCCTGGCTTCTGCACCTATGCCCCACGATATTAATTGCCCTTGATCGGCGCGGAAATTTCCCGATATATCATCTAGGCAATAGTAGAGTCATTGGGTCCTTTCTCCTTGCATGTATCACCTTTTGACCTGTGCGGGCAGTTGGCGGTAAAGGCCCTATGTTGTACAGAGTAAAATCGAAGATGACGAGAGCTATGGCGACCGAGGCTAAGGCAAGGATTATTAGCGCCCCCCGCATTTCGTTCATGGGGACTCCAACCAAATCGAGATTAATATTGGCTAAAAGGTCTAAGAATCCCCTTTCTGGCAAATAGCCAAAAGTGCCGAGATCAATTTGTGCCGAGGTCAGCGGTTATCACTGAGATCCCCTCATTTCTATACTTGCACTGTTATAAAGTGATAACTCTCTGCTTTGGCTACTTATATACTATAACAAGGCTAGATTGCGAAAATGGATATAGGTGCGTGGTAGAAAGATGATTTTAATTGATCTTACTGACAAATAATAGGCACCGCCGCCGCCGCTCTCATCGGAGGGGCTACAGTCGCAGGATATCTGAATGCAAAGTTTCATATCCAGAAGGATATATCAATTTTGGCCACGCAGAAGCATGCAGAACGACAATATGCCAATGCCAGTATGATCATAACACATTTGCACTATCCAAACCACGTACTAACCAATTCTTAGTTGGTCAAAACCAAGGCAATCCATGGTTCGTTCTAGTGCAAACCGTGAAGAAATATCCCGACATGATCTGTCTTTGGACTCGGGAGAGATCATACACCTACCGAGAACTCCAAGACCAAGCCTGCCAATATGCCCATTTCTTTCTATCGCAGGGCGTGAAGAAAGGCGACCTTGTTGCCCTTTACCTCCAGAACAGCACCGAGTACATCGTTGCATGGGTCGCGCTCTGGAGCATTGGGTGTGCCCCCGCCGCAATTAATTACAATCTTACCGGCGCCGCATTGCTGCACTGCTTGAAGATCAGCGATGCAACCATTCTGCTAGTTGACGAAGATGCAGACTGTCGCGCCCGTGTCGAAGAAAGCCACGACACTATCACAGGCAATCTTGGAATGAAGCCGATGACCCTGGATAGCTCCCTGAAGGCGCATATCAGCACTTTCCCAACAACCCTCCCACCCAAGAATCTAAGCAAGCATATAGCCGGCGAATTCCCGGCAATTCTTCTATACACCTCCGGCACAACGGGTATGCCCAAGGGCTGTGCATTCACAATGTCCAGACTCTATACCAATCTCTTCATCCGCCGTGACTTGATGGGAGACACACCCGGCCCAGCCGGTGATCGCTGGTACAGCTGTATGCCCTTGTACCACGGCACAGCGGCTATATCCATGATCGCATGTCTGGTAATGGGTATTAGTATCGCGATCGCGCCCAAGTTTAGCGTCAGTAGATTTTGGAAAGATGTCCGCGACTCGGAGTCAACCATTTTTGTGTATGTTGGAGAGACTGCGCGGTATTTGCTCGCGCCGCCCCCATCGCCTCAAGATCGGGAACATAAGGTACGGTGTATGTACGGTAACGGTCTGCGGCCGGATATTTGGGAGCGGTTCCGTGAGCGGTTCGGAGTCGCTGAAGTTGGGGAGTTCTTTAACAGCACAGAAGGTGTCTTTGGCCTCTTCAACTACAACCGCGGGCCTTTCACATCTGGCAGTGTGGGTCACCATGGTTTGATCATGCGTGGTGTATTGCATAACGTCTTTATTCCTGTCGCTATTGACCCGGAAACTGGAGATATATTGCGGGATTCCAAGACCGGCTTTGCGGTTCGCGCGCCTTATGATCAGGGAGGTGAGATTATCGTCAACGTTCCTGGTGAAGAGGCTTTCCAGGGGTACTGGCACAATGATGAGGCGACAAATAAAAAATTCTTGCGTGATGTCTTCAAAAAGGGGGATCTCTATTATCGATCCGGAGATGCTCTGCGTCGGCAGAGTGACGGCCGTTGGTACTTCCTCGACCGACTTGGAGATACTTTCCGCTGGAAGAGCGAAAACGTGTAAGTTTCACAGCACCCTAATATCAATGTGGAAATTATGGAAGCAAAGCTAATAACATTATGAATGTAATAGAGCAACCGCGGAGGTTTCAGAGGTTCTTGGCCAATTCCCTGGCATCACCGAAGCCAACGTCTACGGCGTTCGTCTTCCCAACCACGAGGGACGCGCCGGGTGTGCAGCAATACAAATTAGTCCGGATGCCCGTCAGGCATTTGATTATTCAGCGCTTGCGAAATTTGTACGCTCCAAGCTACCAAAATACGCTGTTCCATTGTTCCTTCGCATTGTCGAGAATCCCACTCACATCCACAACCATAAGCAAAACAAGGTGCCACTTCGGGATGAGGGTGTTGATACTGCTTTGGTTGGAACTAAGGCCCCTGAAGGCAAAGATGACCGCTTTTTGTGGATCGCACCTGGCGATGAGAGCTATTCACCGTATGGAGAGAAAGAGTGGGAGAAATTGTCAACTGGGAGTGCTCGATTGTGAGCCGCTACATACTCTGAATAGGATTACATCTTGACTATACGGTTTTAGGGATATCAATTTTATGTTATTTTGACTATACATCGAGATTATTCACATGTGGGCGTTTTGCTCATTACGATCTTAGTATTTATCTAGTGGGTATGGGGACCAGCCTTTCGTGCTTTCTTTTTTTGTTTATCTCACTTCATACATTCCCACAGGCCTCGCATACCTGTACAACACATATGCTTCTTGCTGGGCATAATTATCACCGCTGCCGCTTACTACACGCAAACCGTCTTCCATCTAGTTCGCGCTAATAGGGATATCTTAGCAACTGCCCCTTCAGCGAAAATTCCCCCATAGAATATAGGCGGATCAAGGAGATTATGGTGCAATTATTGTTAAAGAGACTATGAGTGTCCAACCACGTTACTCGTGTACATTGATCTGGATCCTGAAAGTTGCGAAAGCGACCTGAAAGTGTTAATATTCATGTAGAAGGCTAAGTAAAGCGACTGGCTCAGAATTGAAGTCTGATTGATCAGGCTTTCGCAAAAGTTAGCAGTCTATGGACGTAGTTCTGTCTAATCAAATGAGGCAAACAGGAGCGCAAAAGTGAAAGCAGCTTCTCAAAACAAAACCAGGAGAAAGATCAAAAAGCAGAAAAGCTCGCTTCACATCAAATTCATCATTTGAACCGTCGAGGCCAAGGGATTTTGGGTTGCACCAGGCAACTAAATATATTGGCATTTATTTCTTGATCAGACCCAAGAGGTTGATGCTCTTGGGACGCTCAATAGGCATGCCGAGAACACGATCCCAGATCAGCTGGGCCAGGGGGCCAAGAGCACGGCTGACACCAAAAGCGACAGTGTAGTAGAGGGGCTGTTGGAAGCCAAAGTGATGGAAGAGGACGCCACTAGCGGCATCAACGTTGGGGTATGGGTTCTTCGTCTGTACAAAATTGAAGGTTAGCTAAGAAACGGGTTAGTGGTGTTAGGTTGCTATTGGACATACCTTTCCGTGCTCAGTAAGAACACCAGGAGCAATCTCCGAGTTCTTCTTGACCAACTGGAAGACTGGGTTGGCAAGAACTTCAGGGCGGGTGGCTGCAAAGTCCATTAGAGCCTCGAACCGAGGGTCGGGTTTGCGCAGAACGCCGTGACCATACCCAGGGACCACACGGCCAGACTTCAGGGTATCCCAGAGATAGGTGCGAACATCCTCGTCGCTGAAATTTGTCCCGATCTTTTCCTGCATGGCATTCACCCATCGGAGAACCTCCTGGGCCGCCAGGCCGTGGAGTGGGCCAGCCAGCCCCAGGAGACCAGCGCTGTAACTCAGGAAGGGATCACTCAGGGCGCTTCCAACAAGGTGGGTGGCATGTGCTGACACATTACCACCTTCATGATCGCCGTGCAGAGCTAGGTAAAGGCGGAGGAGGTCGTGGAAGTCAGCATGCTCTGAGCCACCCTTGCCCAGCAGCTCTGCGAAATTGTGCGACCAATCCTGAGCAGCGTCAAGCTTCTGAGTACCAACGGCATCAATTTCATTAGGACGGAAGACAAGTGCCGCCACGCGAGGAATCTTGGCAAGGAGGGAGATGCTGTCATCAAAGGTGGGCTCCCAGTAGTCAGCCTTGTTAATGCCATTCTCGTAGGCCTTGGCAAATTTGGATCCGGTGTTCAGGGCTGCCACAGCAATTGACAATTGGGTCATAGGGTGCATTGAGGCGGGGAAAGTCTTGATCAGGTCCAGAATGTAGGAGGGAAGTTCGGACTTTTCGGCCAGCTCGCGTGAAAAGGCACGAACCTGCCCCGTGGTGGGCACCTGGCCCGTCAACAACAGCCAAAACATGGCCTCTGGTAGCATTTCAGTGCCTGTGGTACCCTTAGGTAGCTCCTTCTGGCAGTCCTTAATCGTTTTGCCGTGGAAACGGATTCCCTCATCCGCATCAAGGACGGAGCCCTCCCAGAGCATAGCCTTGAGGCCACGCATACCACCAATGACATTTCCGATCTTCACATCACCAATCACATCATCACCCTGGGCTTTGACCTTTTTAAGGAGCTCCCGCTTAGCCGGGATGACTTCCTTCAAGGTGGTCTTCAGGTCGGGCTCGGCGGTCGCATAGTGACGTGCTGAGAGGACAGGTCGTGCTGCCTATAAAGGATTAGAGACCTTGAAAAGCCCAACAATGAATTAAATCATCATTTGAACTCACCTGGGCAAGCTTAGAGACATGACGGGTTGATCTCCAGCTGAGAGCCATTTTGTGTGGTTATGTTATGGAGTCCGGGGGTGGATTTGCGGGGGCGGAGTTGAATTGCGGGGATGGAAGGGGATGAAAAAGGATCAAGCTGAACAAACAGCAATTGAGTGAATCTTATGGAATTGACGATGATAAATGAACAAAAAGAAGGGGAAAAGGAGTCAGACTGAATGATCGACTTCACCGAATGCAGGTCGGTTGGACGCGGGGCACAGGGTTGTCTACCGAGGCCCGGGGCCATGCGGCCATGTCGGCTGAGATCAGCTCCCTTGGATGTTCTAAGGTTAGACAGGGATGAAATGTACCGACAAGAGGGGTATCAGTGGACATCTGGGCTATTTGATAATTGACTATAGCCCACATAGTAGTAGGAATTGTTGTATCCTTTTATTGACGTTCCTAGTATATAATATCTACTAACATACTTGGTGAAGGCTGGCCTCGGACCTGTATTTCGGATGTATGGAGATAAGCCTAAGGACACTTGGTTCCTGTCAAATCGACCTCGGGGGTTACTAGGCTGAAAAAGAATATCCATTTACCCGCCAAAACTTTGGACTTTGGTCTACCTGTGATGGTCGTGACGTAGAAAGTTGGCGCCTCAGGCAGACATTGTACAAATGTCAGTTTATGCCTTAGGCTCCGGGGTTGTTATCTTCAGGCACCAAGGCACCAAGGCGGCGTTGTCACTGATCCAATCAGACAAATCTGGTTAGACGCCTTTTTTGTCCCATGGCGCCGCCGGGCCCGCTGATTGGATGAGTAAGCAAAAAAAAAAAAATTCGGTCCCCGGTGGGTCAGCAATCGACGATGGCAAAGATTGTTTTTACTTCTTTTTAGACCACTCTCCCCTCTTCGTGTTTCTTTTTTTGTTGTGTTTCGGGTCTTCTGGGTTTCTAAGAATCGTCTTGTATATACTCTACGATTCAACCCGATCCTACTCATTCTGTTTGTGTGCGCGACTTGCGCTGTGGACAGTTTCTTTATCTTCCGTTAGGTCGAATTGCCCCTCTCTTCCCAAGGGCTTCATTTCTCTGTCATTTTTTCCGATATCTCTTCTTGATATCGACACTCGATCTTCGATTCTTTGATTCTCTGGAAAATGCCACACACTGTCTCCCCCTCTGAGACTCCTGCCATGCCGACCATCGTCGCAAAGGGCCCCTCCGGCGTGCCCCCCACCTCCGAGGAGATTTCCTCCCTCCTGAACACTATTTTCACATCCGACTCCTCCCAGAAGTCGCTTGATGGCGCATATGCCTTGACCAACCTGCTCATGCAGGGCGCTGGCTGTGCCGGCTTGCTGAACTACAACGTCCTCGCTGATGTGCGCAAGGCTGCCGCTGATAAGAAGAATGGCGCCAAGCGCGAGAGTGCCATGCTCATTATTGGTGCTTTGTTCGAGCGCTTCCCCCGAGAGTTCCCTCTCAGTGAAGCCGTTTTCCTCTTGCATGACGGAGGTATCTTTGACATTGCTCTGGACGCCCTGTCCGACAAGGGTGCCGTTGTGCGTGATGCTGCCCAGTACGCCATCGATGCGCTCTTCGGATGCCTCAGCCCCGAGGCCATGGTCAACGGTCTGATCCCCGCTCTCGAGCGCTACCTGGCCAAGGGCTCTGGCAAGTGGCAAGGATTTGTCGGCGCCTACTCGCTTATCGAAAAGCTGGCCGTCAAGGCGCAGCTGGGCAAGGGTACCAAGGAGGAGGAGCGCCAGAAGGACTTGCTGCGCGATGCTATGGGCAAGACCCTGAAGGAGCTCATCCCCATTGTGGAGTCTGGCATGCACGATCTTAAGAGCGAAGTGGCCAAGCAGTCTTGCAAGACCATGACTGCCCTGACCACCCTCCTGTCCAACGACGACGTTGCCCCCCGCATTCCCCTTCTGATCAAGACTATGGAGAACCCCTCCGCTCAGACCCTCCAGAAGGCTATCCACGCTTTGTCCCAGACCACCTTCGTTGCCATTGTCACATCGCCCGTGTTGGCCATGCTCACCCCTCTGCTCGCCCGATCCCTCAATACCCCGGCTACTCCTCAAGAAACCCTTCGCCAGACTGTCGTCGTTGTGGAGAACTTGACCAAGCTGGTCCACGATCCTGCTGAGGCTCGTACCTTCCTTCCCAAGCTCCAGCCTGGTGTGAAGTCGGTCAAGGAGACTGCCTCCTTGCCCGAGGTTCGTGAGCTCGCCACACGTGCTCTCGATGTTATCGAGACCGCTATGGGAGACAGTCACCTTGCTTCCGGTTCCGTCTCTAAGACCACCCCCGAGGAGGTCCTCGTCGTGCTGAATGCAAAGATTCAGGAGCACGGTGGCCTGGGTGGCTTTGGTGACTCCAAGCTGCAGGATTTGGCCAAGAACTTCATTGCCGGTATGGTCCGCGAGGATATCAACAGCCGCATGCACGACCGTATTACCGGGCGCATTGACCCATACCTCCGCGGTCTGCTTGCGGATGGCAACACAGAGGCCGTTGCCACTGCTGTCCAGTCTCACTACATTGCAGAGGATGAGATCAAGTATGGCAAGCCTGTCCCTGAAGACCCCAATGATATCGAAATTGTCAACGCCGACTTCTCTCTTGCTTACGGAGGTATGCTCCTGCTGTCCCACACCAACCTGCGCCTCCTCAAGGGCCACCGATACGGTCTCTGCGGTCGCAACGGTGCCGGCAAGTCTACTCTGATGCGCAGTATCGCCAATGAGAAGCTGGAAGGATTCCCGCCCCAAGATGTGGTCCGCACTTGC